CCGGAAATTCGTAGGCCATTGTGAAGTTCGCCCTAATTTTCTTCTTCTTCTTCTTCTTCTTCTTCTTCTTCTTCTTCTCATTATCATTCTCACTGCCTTCTTCTTCGTCTTCTTCTTCTTCTCATTCTCATTGCCTTCTTCTTCTTCTTCTTCTTCTTCTTCTTCTTCTTCTTCACCCAACTTCGTTTTTTTTTTTTTTTCAGTGTATCATCAGGCAATGGGCACACACCTCCCAACTTCGTTTTTTTTTTTCGGGTGTATCATCCGGCAGTGGGCACACACCTCCCACCCCTTCTTCCTCTTCTTCTTCTTCTTCTTCTTCATCTCCCGTTTTTTTTTTCGGTGTATCATCAGGCAGTGGGCACACACCTCCCAACTTCGTTTTTTTTTTTTTCGGTGTATCATCAGGCAGTAGGCACACACCTCCCACCCCTTTTCTTCTTCTTCTTCTTCTTCTTCTTCTTCTTCTTCATCTCCATCTTCTCTTCTTCTTCTTCTTTTCTTCTTCTTCTTCTTCTTCTTCTTCTTCTTCTTCTTCATCTCCATCTTCTCTTCATCTTCTTCTTCTTCTTCTTCCTCCTCCTACCATCACCCACCTCCGTTTTTTTTTTGTTTTTTTTTTTTGGAAATTCATCGGGCAGAGGGAACACACCTCCCAACCCTTCTTCCTCTTCCTCTTCTTCTTCTTCTTCTTCTTCTTCTTCTTCCTCTTCCTCTTCTTCTTCTTCATCTCCATCTTCTCTCCATCTTCTTCTTCTTCTTCTTCTTCTTCTTCCTCTTACCATCACCCACCTCCGTTTTTTTTTGTTTTTTGTTTTTTTTCGGAAATTCGTCGGGCAGTGGGCACACACCTCCCACCCCTTCTTCTTCTTCTTCTTCTTCTTCTTCTTCTTCTTCTTCTTCCTTCTACCATCACCCATGGCGGACAATTGAGTACCATTCGAGCCTGAGACTGGTGTAGACAGAGAAAGGACGCTCAGCCAGTCGGAGCTTTGGAAATGGGCGGAGAGAGGCCAGAGGGTGACGACCGGCACGTCGCACAACTCGTGGAGGTTGCGTTGCAGTCTGTGCAACAAAGAGTTCATCGGCACGCTCAGCAAAGTCGTGAATCACCACCCCCAACCATCAAGCAATGCCCGTTGTCCCCGTACCACCGGTGAGATTCTTTCTGCGATTCGGAGCAAGCACCCGAAGGTGAAATTGCTCCTTGCGCTAATGGCGAATTTGAACGAGTACTATGTATGCTTTACAGGGCCGTCCGGCAGATGCTGAGGATCCGCAGGATCTTGCATTGGGTGATGGAGCTGGTGCATCGGGGGAGCCCGGTAAGTCGTCGGCATGGGGAGACGGTGGGCTTGACACAGGTTCAACGGGGGGACAAGGCAGTGGTGTCGGTTATGATTCAACATCTGTTCAACGGCGGGAGAGGGCAGCTTTTGTTGCCTGTACAACCGCTCCGGATTCCAGGGGGCCTGACCTCCCGTCGGAGATTGCTGAACACTTGCGGAGTCCCGTTCTGGCTGCCGCTCGCCCTCCACGACCTCCATCGGGTGTGCAGCAGTCGTCCATGACGAGTTACGTGGTGGATGAGCTGCAGAAGGAGTTCGACCAGGGGGTTGATTCGTTCTTCTTTGAGAACGCCATCGCCTTCAATGCCGCGCGCTCAGACTCGTACAAGAACTTGGAAAGGATCATGAACCTGGCAACGAGGTCGAGGAAGTTGCGAATGCCAGGGTACAACTACTTGAGGACGAAGGCCCTGCCCGCGGAGTACAAAGTGGTGGACAATGATTTGGACAAGATCCGAGAGCCGTGGGATGTCACAGGCCTCACCTTGATGACGGATGGCACAACAACGACCAGCAACAGGCCGGTCATGAACTTCATTGCAGCCGGCGATTCGGGGGCGGTCATGGTGAGGAGTGTGGACATGGAGGGGAAGGATAAGTCGGCTCCGACTTTGGCGAGGATGTGTGTGGAGGTCATAAGGGAGTTGGGGGTGCATAGGGTCAACGCCATCTGCACCGACTCAGCACAGGTCAACATTTCTGCCAGGAAGATTTTGGCTGAGCACGAGGACCCTGCCATTAGAAGCATTCCATGGGTGTCGTGCGCATGCCATGTGTGCAACTTGCTCATGTCTGATATTGCTTCGGTGTCATGGGTTGCGGAGGCGATTCTGCAGGGCAGGGAGATCACAACCTTCATCAAGAGACATCAGCGGGCGTTGGCGATGTTTCGGAAAAGTGGGAGGGAGTACAGGACACGGATGAACATCAAAGAAGGGARGCYGTTGGAGMTGATCCAGCCGGGGGARACTAGATTTGGCACRAACTTCCTCATGCTGCAGCGTYTTCGGGAGTGTGAGGGCGTGTTRCTGTTGACYGTTTCCAACCCGTGGTGGGATGACTCTCCATGGGACAGGACAGCAGCGACACGGGCGCGRTCGTGCAAGGAGCTCATACGAGACCCTGGTTGGTGGTTGGCTGTGGACAGGGCATGCACCTTGCTTGAGCCCGTTTACGCCTTGATGAAGAACATGGACAAAGATGGGAGGATGGGTATGCAGGTGTGGTCGTTGGGCATCACGTTGGAGAAGAGAATGGCCGTGCTACCCATGGATCACGAGACAAGGCAATTCGTGATGGCGAAGGTCAAAGACCGTGTGCGGATGATGGCTCTACCTGTGCATGCAGTGGCTTGGATGTTGCACCCGCTCCACCGATCACCTCGACTCTTCGACGACATGGATTCCGAGGAGATTGCGAACACTTTGACACACTTTGCTTCGGTTCACCTGAAGAATTCAAAGGAGTACAAAGAGTGTTGGAACTCCCTTAAGAGTTTCCATCACATGGATCCTGAGTGGATTGGGAAGAACTTTGAGGAGGCTTTGACGGGCGGTCACATGTCTATGGCGCACTGGTGGTTGACTTATGGGAAGAGGCACCCAACCTTGATGAAGATCGTTGTCAAAGTGCTTAGCATGTGGACCACAGCCTCTCCCTGTGAGAGGAATTGGTCCACGTTCGATCTCGTTCACTCGAAGAGGAGGAATCTGTTGAGCCCGAAGAACCTGGAGATGCTCGTCTTCATCCACTGGAACAAGAAGTTGCTGCGCATGTCGAAGGCCAAGATGGGATTCGTGAACACCGAGCAGCTAGAGTGGAAGACACCCGAGGACGACGCTCCTTTCGACGGTTTCATGCGAGACGGGGAGTACGACCCCGCAGAGGTGAAGAGGAGGGCTGCCAACTGGTCGAAATCTCGAGGGCGCAGATCGAAGAGCACCAGATTCGACGTGCGGGAGATTCAGGAGGAGAGGGTGGATGACGGGGCGTGGCTCCTTGATGTTTCCTACCGCCCTCGCCGTCTCGCGGTTGACGACCGCGGGAAGACCGCTGCTGCTGTTGATGAGGAGGAGGACGACAGAGACGACAGCGATGGTGATGATGAGTTACTCGAAGTGCGGCTCACAGACAATCGGCTTAGCAGGCGGCGGGTCATGTTCCGCGACAAATGTCGACATCACGCCGCTGGCTGGCCCTGCATCCGACGGGCCTTCGGCGGCTGCTTTGGTGTCAATGATGGGCGATGTTGGTGCCCGTACACGACTGCGCAGCTGCGCGGCCGGTGGTGTGGCTTCAGTTCAAGGAACCAGCACAGTCTTGGGCGCGCAACACACTCCTCAACGGCGAGCTGCGGTCGAGGAACTACGCACAGGCTGCGGGGCGACATGCAGAGGATCGGCGGATGTTGACGAGGACAGTGCTGCTGCGGGGGATGTTGGAGACTTTGGTGTGTTTGTGGACGTTCTGGTTCCCGGTGCTGCTGAACACGAGGATGGAGACAGGTGCGGACAAGGACGACCCGGTCCTTGGAGCAGCAGAGGACACCCATTGCACCGGCGGCGATGTGTTCTCCACTCCGGACCCAGGGTTGCCGCTCGCTGACAGATTCGCCTCCTTGTTGCAACACGTGGCCCCCATTGCTGCGAGAGGCTCCAAGACAGACTTCCAGAAACACCTGGCTGCGATGTCCCCCATGAGGAGCGATTCCGAGGGACAAACTCCTGATTGGGCCAGATTCACTGGACCGACCACTCCCACTCTGCAGTTGAGCGAGGACACTCCCACACAGGCCGGGGACGGATCACAAGGCATGGTGTACAAGAGGAGGACCCGAGCTGCTGGACTTGACCACCCACAAGATGCAGCTGCACAAAGTGAGCCAGACTCGCCGCCCGAAATCAACGCGAGCTTGGTGCGCCAAGTGAAGAGTTTGGCGGGCAGGAAGAAAGGAGGGAAGAACAAGCCGAAGGAGACAGCGGAACCGTCGAGACAACGTGGACGAGGCAAGGGACGCAGGACAGTCACACCGCCGGCGACCTTGCAAGAGAACCGTGCTGTTGTTCGGCAGGCAAAGAACAGGAAGGCACAAAAAGTTCTAAAGAAAGCCACCACAAAGAGGAGGAAGTGTGTGCAAGAGGACGATGAATCCGCAAGCAGCAGCGCTTCGTCTTCCGCAGAGGAAGTGGAAGCGCAGCCGAGGTCATCGACCGACGTGTCGTCATCGAGTGACGCATCGTCCTCCTCTGACACGTCGTCGAGTGACGCGGAGGAGACAGGCACGAGTAGCAGCAGCGAATGAGAGAGAGAGAGAGAGAGAGAGAGAGAGAGAGGGAGTGAAACATTCTTCTTCTTCTTCTTCTTCTTCTTCTTCTTCTTCTTCTTCTACTGCTCCCTCCTCTTCCACTTCTTCATCATCTGCTTCTTCCTTCTCGTCTCTTTCATCCATGTCCGGGGTGGACTGTGTTTTCTATGACTTCATGGACGTCGGGACAGTGAGACTATAATGGAGCCTGAATCCTCTGCAAGGAGCCTGGTTTGATGTTGCAAAATGCTGTGGAGTTGTGATTTTGTGCTGCTCTCGACTGCATCCTTTTTTTTTTGTATTTTCCCCCCCTCTGAGCCGTCAAACGGCCCCCTGTAACCACGAAATAGACCCCCCTAAACCCCTTGAAGACCACCCATCCCCTCCCGACACACCCCTTGTGAAACAGTTATGCTTCAACCCCCTCTGTGCCATCGAACAGCCCCCTGTAACCACGAAACAGGCACCCCCAGCACCCCCTCCCGACACACCCCTTGTGAAACAGTTATGCTTCAACCCCC